TTCTTCTTCTTCTTCTTCTTCTTCTTCTTCTTCACTTCTTCTTCTTCTACTACTACTAAGAAGAAGAAGAAGAAGAAGAAGAATTTGAATTAGAATTAGAATTAGAAGCAGAAGAAGAAGAAGAAGAAGAAGAAGAAGAAGAAGAAGAGAGAAGAAGAAGAAGAAAGGAGGAGAACGAAGAAGGAAAGAAGGAGAAGAAGATGAAGAAGGAACGACAGCTGAAGTGGATAGTCTTGCCGAGGCAGTTGCGTGTGTTCTCAATTGTTGGAGGTCAACATGGCATATTGCGTTTTTTTGTGGGGGGCAACATCTGCATTGTTGCATTGTACACCCTCTCAAGAAACGAAAAACGAACCCCCTCCGGGCCGTCTGGCCCTCCCTCTCTTTTCCTTGCGATACCTACAGAACTCCCATCAGGTCTCCCTACCCTGAGCTGACCAAGTGGGGATCTCCTTGGCATTTCGAAATGCAATTCCATCAGTTGAAACTTGACAGAGTGGCTCCAGCAAAGGGTGTTCAGAAGGGGGTTGCTGTTAGGAGAAAGACTTGGGAGAAAGGGGCAAAACATTTTGTTAATGCTTAAAGGGTGGTGCCAAGCACCAGCATATGAGAAGACAAAAAAAATCGAGATGGAAGAGAGCTCAATGAAGACCAATCATGAATAAGCCAAAGGTGAACACCGATCCTAGAACACATTGTACACTGAAGTCTCTGGACAATAAAAAGAATCAATACAACAACAGAAAAGTGATGATGTGTCCAGCTATGCTAGGGTGCTATTTATAGCCTACACAAGGAGCCTTCCACCTCTGGCTCTCTCTCCGCTCTCCTCTAGGCAGATTCCAGCTAAGAGTGTGATCACAAAGGTTGTCCTCGGCCACACATCAGGATGATGTGTCCAGCTATGCTAGGGTGCGATGTAGCCTACACAAGGAGCTTTCCACCTCTCGCTCTCTCCACTCTCCTCTTGACAGATTCCAGCCAAGAGTGTGATCACACAGGTTCTCCTCGGCCACACATCAGGTAGGTTTCCGTCGGTTGCACTGCAGATCTCCTTCTGTGACCAACCCTGACCATTCACCATCCTCTCTCTTGCGCAGTGCCAGTTATGCCTACACCCCTCCCCCCCCCCACCCCCAATAGAACATACGGTCATTGTTGCTGTATCTCGACTGAACCTGCCCCCATAGATACAGGCATAATGCCTGTTCATTCTACTGGGGGAAGATGGTGTAGCTCGCTGGGAGACGCCACCATGGATGCCTTCTTTCTTGCAGGGGCACAGGCTGCTAGCACACTCTCCGCGCTCTGACGCCCAACCTCGCGCCCAGCACGCTTTACAAGAATGCATATGCCCGCCATCACGACCACCATCAAGGCAATTTCCTTTCCTCCCTTACCCGTTGGCTGCCTCACGAGCTTTATGAAATACCCAAGTTCGAACCCAGATCGCTCAGCTCGTGGTCATTCACTTCCGGCTGGTCCTCATCATGGTATTACTCACTAAATGTGCAAAATGTGAATGAATCTTCCGTTGGAATAGGAAAAAAAATACACAGCCACATCGTTTCTTCCTGTTTGTTACAAAAAACAAGGATCTAGGAGGGGATCAAAAAGAAAAAATGAAAACGAAACTTTAAGGTAAAACGATGCTGAAAAACAGAAAACAGCACTCGTTAACTCGGACCCCTACCATGACCTCTGCGATTCTCTCCTGCCAGGTGGAAAGCTTTGTTATTTTGACTTTGTTGTGATTCTCTAGTATGACCTGCATAGCGTTTTGGACCATATTGAAGATAAAGCGGTCTCTTATAATGTTGGTCGCCTTATCTACTGCGAAGCACTCTTGTCGACGAAGATCTGCTAAGTGAGTGAATCATTCTTCTGTAAGTCCGACCAACTGTAGATAAAGCAAGAGTGAATCATTCTTTATCTACTAAGTGAGTATTTCACACCTTCTTAAGAGTCATATTACCAGACTCTTACTCTTGATACTCTTAGCAATATATTAAGAATTGAGAATCTGCCAGAAGACTTATTAGATTCGTATTTATCTGTTTGAAATATATCTGTTTGAGATTCTATGTTCTTTCAACGACAAAGAAAAAACTTTGCGGATCTTATTCGTTGGAAGACTCTTGTTCGCCTAAAAAAATTGACTGACCCTCTTCGCCGCCTGTAAGGGTTGGTTTCCCTCCTGAGGTACTGTAGGACCTCCATGTTGCAACCTAAATTGCTTGCATCCCATGGTTACATATATCTGGTTTTTACCTGTAACAGTGTAGCTGAACACCGGTTGCCGCATAGCCCAAGTGAGTTTATCCATCATATGGTCCTACGGGGTAGGCACCCCCGAATTAGTGCTGATTGGGCGGATCTTAATACACAATCCGTCATGATCCACATTAAGAACGCAACATCCGACCACAAAATTGCGTGTTTTATTCTGTTTTACTTTATTACTTTACTCCTAATTTAGCTGTTTGCTTCCAGCCAACGGCGCGTTTCTGACTTTTAGGCTGAATAACTTACCAAAGTAGACCAAAATTCGGACCAGGGTTCAATTTTAACTGGAGTCGAAAAAACGAAAAAGATAAATTGAAACCGTTTTGCTATTTGTGTGTCTCACCCTTGCTCGCATACCAGACAAATATCTCCCATGCGGCCGTTGCATAATGCTTAGATTGTGCGGTGGAAACCGATCGTGCTGTATCAAGTGTTACTGGCTGCTCCTGCCAAAAGGAGCTAGCCCAGTGGCCAAAGGCACGATTAGGTCCTGATACCAATGTCAGGCAATACATTTTGGAACCTATAAGGCTAGATTGACTTTAGGAAAAGTAGGAGCGGCTCCTATAGCCAATAACCCTGCCTACCCAGGTATCATGGGTCCCGCCGTTCTAACCTCTTCAAAGGGTAAGCCGCCCACCCTCAGATCGAACGGGTGCCCAACCTAGTAGGTTAGCAGCGAATGTTTACAACGCACGTGTAGGATTGAATCTTGGCATGTGAATATGAAACACTACTTGAGATAGGTACACAATTTTTACCCGATGTTTTTAAAAGTTAGGTAGGCTAGTTTATAAGCCAATAAGTTATGACATTGTTGTTTTCCAGCCAAATAATCCCTGGATCGTGCGACTGTTGTCCTTCTTTTTAATAAAATAGGCTTAGTACTACTATGCTTATGTTCGCGGAAGCTCATACTCTCTATGCGTGGCCAACATACCAAGGGGGCAGCTCACATTGTTGAAACCCATGTCTCTCAAAGCTGCAACAACCTCGTAAGAACCCTCTACTGGTCAAGTCAAGGCGCAGTGTGGCCTCGCCAGTGGATTGTGGTAACATCGATACTAGACTGGCGTACGTTGTCGAAATTAAGTCTCAATTTTTTCGTCGATAGGCGCCATATTCCAAATAACTACGACAGACCAAAATTCAACCGTATCGTGACTGCGATTGCCTTTGATAACTGCGATATTTGAAACAACTTATGATTTCTCAAAATCCCATTACCATAATCTTTGGAAAGGTCGTGATGACTTAAGGTTAATGTTCCCCTAAGCAAAACAACGGCCCCGACTGCCCCGACAATTGTTATCCTTAGCTAATATCCCTGTTGCATCGCACCAAATAACTTTGGCTAAGATGCTACTAATGCTGACCTGTGCGGTTAGGAGTCTATCTCTAGATGGTAGGGCATCGTAGATACGGTGACATACATAAGGGCAATTGGAATTGTGTGCCTTACTGACCAAGCTAGCCCCGTTGGCACCTTTTTCCTACCTACATACCACTATTCCGACGCTTATACAGGGGACCCTACAAGCATAGCTACTTCTCACAATCAAGGGGACGCATGTTGCCCCCTGCCTTAATCTATTGTCCTTAGGGAGAGGGGGCGCAGCCGTCACCGGGGCGGGCTAATGCCAAGATTGATCATATTGCCAGTAGCCGTGCCTCCCATCTACTTCCCCCGAGCCCATCGAGTAACAGCAGTGTCTAAGGCCACACATATTTATGCTCGTGATGGGTAAAGACCCTACCATCTGATGCACAACCTCACACCCCGTGCATCATTTCTTACCCGTGGTGGAAACACCGATCAAATTAGGGGTCATGACGAAGGACGTTGGGCGAAGGTGAGGCCCCGAGGGGGTGAATTTCCAGTACGAAAACAAAAATTCTGAGGGTATTTCCGTCGTTAGAATGGGAGAGAAATTAATAGAGTAAGAAACCAAAAAATGTCTGTATTTAAGAAATGTCCTTTCGTCAGGACGACCCACACAAAAAGGGAGAGCGGCGTGTCAGTCCCAACCAAGAGTTTAGTCCCAGGCAACCATATTGTTGCAATGATATCCGACGGAGGCCTTCCCTCTGGTTCCCTCCCCCTATGAATATCAGCAGTCTCTGCTCAATACCGCTCTGGGGGTCCAATGACCTATCTTTTGGTGGCAGGTGCCAAGCTTGCCAAGGAAGGTATATGAATGGGAATTGAACCCAAGACCTCCTGAATGGCACTTGCGTGCCTTACCAACAAAGCTATGCCGTTGGATTCTTCCTGTGTGTAATTTTTTTATTTTATTTTAAATTTGGCATGGCCTTATAAAAAAGAAGAAAAAGAAGAAAAACTTACCAATACAACGGGAACAAAGGCAAAAAGCGCAAAATGAGTGCCGGGGGAAGGTCCCATTAATGGGCCGGGTTCATCCCCTCTGGACCGTAGATTGCGAAGATCAGCGGCCAGAAACAGAAAACGCGGTTAAGTGGGACCTGCTGCGGGCTACCGCCGTGCCAAGCCGGTCCGCACAAATAATCAGGCGGCGCTTTCATTTGTCAAAGTCAAAGTCAACGGGTCAGGAGACCCGGCCCACATCTGGTCAAGCCCGCCAACCGTCGGGCTCGGCGCGGCCAAAGTTTGGGCGACGCGAGTAGTGGAAAGCGCGGGAAAAGAGGAAGCCGGACACGGCGAGAAAGGGCGAGCGACTCGCTCTGAACGCCACGTGGCGCCACGTGGCGCGCATACTATCGACGTCAGAAAAGCCGGGCATTTCGCGCCTGTGCACCTTCTAGGTATTTTTCTTCTTCTTTGTCGCATCCGTCGTCCTTTTTTTTTTTTTGAATTTGTTTTTTTCCGTATGAGCGGTCATACTCGCATATTCCCACTGAGGTAGAGGTTTCTGTGTTTGAATCTGATCGTAAATGCTGGTTAGATACGTCGCGAAAAGACTCAGTGTGAATGCACCTTCCACGTATCTTCTCCTTCGCCGTCACCTCCCTCTTCTTTTTACTCGGTCACACTGAGCACAGTCGCACTCACACTAGGGCTTTCTGTGTTTGAATCTGGACGTTATTTGTTGTGAGATACGTTGTGGACAAAGCCTGGGTGTATGTATTCGCCACGTGCCTACAGACCTTCCTTATTTGGGAGCAGATGGGAGGCGTGGATCTGGGAGGAGGTGGGAATGTGGAAAGGACCTCTGAGGTTTGGTACCGTGTGCGACTTTCGCGAGATGACGTGGCGCCACGTGTCTATCAGACCATCATCGGACGTGGCCGTGGCAACGTCCGGGAAATGACGTGGCGCGACGTAGGCTGTGGCTAGGCTATGAGTAGTGCGTCCCTCCTGAGCGCGCTTTTCTAACATTACTGTTCAGTCTACGTGGACGTGTTGCGGATGAAGATTGTTCCCTCTCTCTCTCTCTCTCTCTCTCTCTCTCTCTCACCGTCTCTCCTGTCTCTTATACACATCTAGATGTGTATAAGAGACAGACCTACTGCTGGCCGCTTCAATCTATTGGATTGGTGGGGAACTACACCTGCTGGAAGCCGGATCCAGCGTCGTCAATAAGACCAGTGATGGGGCCATTAGTTGGCCCATTACCCTTTTTAAATCATTGTGTAAATTTGTAAAATTCCTGTGGTTGCCGCAGAAAAGGATGTCATAGCTCCCCACAAAAGTAATCACAATTAAAGCCTTGGGCGCGTATTCAAACAAGGGAGAAAACTTTGCCACGAGCGTGAAACAAGTAAAAAAAAATAGATAAATAGCACATAAATCGAGGCAGAAAAGGATCCTCAAACATATATGAGATTGAATAAATATGAACGTTTTAACTACTGACAAAAGTCCCGGCCTCGATTAGAGGAGGATATGTAATGCAGAGACTCCGGCGGCTAATGGCCAGGGTAATGGGGTGCACCGGCTCCGGGGCCATTGTCACCTCCCCAAGCCTATAGGGAGGGAAGAAAGCATGGAATGAAGATATGGGTCCGGACCTGTGTTGGGGACCGTAAATCATTGGACGGCCACAATAGACTGAGTTCCATGATGCACGGCTCCAAGGCCTTTGGTCTCCAGGGATCCTGCCAATTATGAAATTAATAAAATTATGTAATTACGTAGTTGAAGATTGAGATTGGGATCGATGTATTTGAGGTTTAGGGTTTAGGAATTTAGGGATTGAGACGATACCTTTTCGAAAAAGTGTAGTTAAGAAAATTAAGAAATTAAAGGGCTGTGGAATCAGTGTGCACACGTTTGGAATATATTGGCAGGGATTCCGAGGGTCTTGAGCATTTGAAGGACCTCTGTAGAACATGGGGCTTGTTGCATGGAGTAGTACTCCCCATGATCTCTCAATTACTTCTAGGTTTGTTCTCAGATTGTTCTCAGATTGTTCTCAGATTGTTCTCAGATTGTTCTCAGATTGTTCTCAGATTGTTCCCAGCCAAAGCCAGGTAATGGCCCCGGTATCTCAAATGATTTGTAAACTTCTTTATGGGACGCTGGGCCGGGCTCCCAGCACGTGCACGTGCTGCTCCCCATGAATAAAGTGGAGCATTTGTTGAACCCTTCAAAAAAAAAGGGAATTAGGAAATTGGTAATTAGGCTAGTTATTAGGATGATTATTAAGATAGATGATTGATGATTAGGATGATGGATAGTATTTTTAAATTGGAACTTTTCAATTCTAATGAAGTAAGGAATACATAATTATTAATTAGGTAATGGTGCTGAATGGAAAAAATAATGAAAACAAACCTAGACCAGAAAACTGACCGCCCCCCCCCTCCCCTCAAGGAACCACTACCGTCTTCACCTGAATAGAACGGCCGGTCATCATAGCTGTATTCGGCACAACTTTCAGTCGATGCAGTGACAAGGACTGCAGTGATAAGGACCAGGTGTTCTATTAGGGCGAAGACGGTAATATCAACCCCCTCACCCACTACCCCCTCCCTACTTCTCCCTCTTTAACCCCCTCCTTCCACATCCCTCCCCCTCCCACACCCTTCCTTCCTCTCTACTTCCCCCCGCAGAGAGCTGAGTACTAGAAAGAAAAGCAGAGTGAAAGAGTGAGTAGAGGAAGAAAAGCAGAGAATGAGGCGAGAGGGAAAGGAGAGTGGAAATAAGGCGATGAAGCTACAGAGACAGGCGGAGGAGAGATGGACGTTGGACCGAAAAAAAAAAAAAAAAAAAAAAAAAAATGGGCTTCCTAGTAAAAAGAAAAGAAGAAGAGTTGCAATCCATGATGAAGCTGATGCTGCCGATGATGATGAAGATATAGCCGTTGATGGTAATCATGATGGAGGATGCTGCTGCTGACCTGCCGCTTCATGCTTCTGAAGAATGCTCACCATCGTCCGTAGTCACCACGCATCACATACTCGCCATCGCAGCGCTTCAACCAAAGAGGGTGCTGGTATCACCTCCACAGCCTGCACCAACCATACCTAGTACTCGCTCTGCAGCAACTTCATCCTGACAATGCTGTGCCCCTCAATTGCTTATTATCCTCGCCAGCTCAGCAACCTTGGAAGATATTATGAAGGGGTACCTTCAGTAGAGTCACAAAAATGAGTTATAATTCCACTCTGGGGCTAGATACAGTTCGCAATTGCACTTTGGGCACCCTACCTGGCCAGAAAGCTGGGTTGTATACATTGCCCGAACTGCAATTCGAAACCGTATCTTGGCCCGTAGTGCAGTTATAACTCATTTTTTGTCACTCCCGCGTAGTTTTCCCTATTATGAATTAGTTGATTGACTTGCATACGATTGCAATGTAAGTGCGCACTCTTCACTGACATCAAAATCCTCGTACCCACTCGGTGCGATATTCAGTGTTCCCTATGGTCTCACCAGCCCAGCCCTCGTCCTCGTAACATGGGGGACGTAGAACACTATCCCGATCATGAAGATCCGCTCCCTCGCCAAAACAGTTCCCCCCTTCGTCCAGCACGCAAGCCCGTGACGCGATTTGAATGAAGCGCGAAGCAAATAACTCCCCCCTTCCTATCCATCAACTCCTTTGCGCAGTCATGCTGACATGGCAGCTTCCTCACGCCGACATGCTGATGTGTAGGCGCTCACAGTCCCAGCCACCGCCTGCCCACGCTGAATTGCTGACATGGCAACACAGCGCTCGCCGTGCTCAGACAGGCAGCACTCGCACTGCGCCCACCGCCGTGCAGCACTCCTGTGCTGTGCTCTCCATCGCGAGTCCTAAAGGCAGTCTTGCGCCAATCTTTTTTAGCTGCCTCTATCTGATGATACCTTGACTTCAAATCAATATTCCGAAAGTACTCACATCCCTGCAATCTGCCCAATATTTAATCAATGTTTGAAGCAAGGGTTCTGCATTGTTTACGGTGATAGCATTCAAGCCCTTATAGCACTAGTACCTTTCCCGCGTGGGAAAATAGGGAAAACTGGCAGTTTTCCCAAACTCCTGAATCTTCGGAGGTCGGGTCCGGCGACGTCTGCCTTTGATAAATCCGATCGGCGGCCGTCATGTCGTTTCGGCCTCTGGAAAGGTCGGACACCTACCCGAGGCCCGCTATTTTCCCAGGCGGGAAAGGTACTGGTGGTTTATATTATAGTCTTACACCTAATCTTAGTTTGCCCTCTTTCTTAGGCACCTACGGGTAGTAGGACCCTTTTTTAAATCAGAGCTGTCAGTCCTACCTACTACGTAGGGGAGGTGATAAGAGCACCCTCCCCTACTAGGAGCTACCTCCCGCCTTGTTTCAAAGCAAACAAAAACAAACTAATATTCCCTGGTGGACTACTGTGGTCCTTCCTGAACAGACTGCACCCTCATCATGACTGAATGGGACCCACAAAAGGGGTTGTATACATTCTTGATGAGGGTGCGTTGTGTTCGGGGGAAGATGGTGGTCTGCTACACAGCACGGGGTAGAGCCTGATTAGTTCCTCCCTACGGTCTTCGGTAATAGCTGTGCTTGTAGCCTGGTTCAGTGGTGGGACTTGGTTTAGAACCTGGTTTAGAAGAAGTCCTGGTGTACATTTTTACTAATTTTCTAGTCCAGGTTTACAGATAGGTTCGGACGCTGGGTTAGGGCCTATTCATACTAAGCCTTTTCTTTTTCTTTTTTTTAACTAAGTCTTTTTTCAAGTTTTTTGCGACTCGTAATTGCGCTCTCAGATCCATGGAAGGCAGATGTAGTGTGAGTATGCCTGGCGGAAGTACCTGAGACAAAGCGGGCCCGGGCCCAAGAAACTGCCCGCGGAAGCGGACGGTGAGACACAGCAGTACCCAGAGGGTTGCCTGGGCAGGCCACCGGACGCGCCGTACTCAGGACTGTTTCGACCGAATCTTGCGGTATTTCTGGCCAAATACGGTCAAGAAACTCCTAGCGTGTGGACGCCTTTTAGCGGTAGTCTGTGGACGCCCCTTTTTTTTTTTTTTTTTGCCCCAGG